CTTGATGTTAGTTTATGCTTCGCGAAAATCCTGACGGTTTAACGTTGAGAACATAGCGCCGCTAATGCGCGTATCCTAGGCCTATGTTATTTGTAAGTTAGACCTAAGCTTAAAACCCATGCTTACACCCTAGCATTCACAATATGCAATAGTAAGAACGCTACTGTGTTTCCTGGACCCGTGTCGACCAGCCATATAAAATAAAAATTTGGGATTTCTTCCATGAATCAGTACCCCTTTCTCAACCCATATGAAAACGCTCATGCTGTCACGTATCAGCTTGCCAGCTGCATTATATGAGCTCAATAGGGCCAAGGCCGTTTTCTTGTGTTTGTGCCTATGCATGGGACCTAGCCACGATGAGAAGACGAAGTTCTGTTCGGCTGATTGGGAAGGAGTTGGCCTAGGTTGATTCCAACAACTCATAATTTTAGTGATTGAACCAGTATATGACTGCCAGACAGACGTCACTCATGCATTGGTCCTCTGGTTTATATGATTTCAGGTCCACGCATTGATCGAGGTGACATTTGGGTGAACTTCAAAGGTCTGTTGTGTAAGATCACTCATCAAGATGTCATCACTGAATGCCAAGATAGGGTCAGTTGTGATCCTAACATCCTCCACAGTTGTGTTTGGCTTATTGTCTCTGAAAGTGGACCAACTGCTGAAGAATTGGTTCCATGCCAGTGGCAGCAATTCATCAAGGCATAAAGCGGACATGGTGATGTCATTCCTTCTCTGCTTTGGTGGGGGTGTCTTGTTTGCCACATGCTTTCTTCACATGATTCCTGACATCAGAGAGAGTGTGGATAGTGGTCCATTGGGTGAAATCAAAATTCCTATGACAGAGCTCCTTATCAGTTGTGGATTCTTCCTTGTCTACCTAATTGAAGAGGTCATTCACACTTTGCTTTGCATCCACAGTGGGCATGCTCATCATGCCAAAGAGATTAGAACAATAAAGACCTGCATAGCTCAAGGGGATGAGCCAATTGAGGCAATAGGATTGGAAAGCTCAGGTCATTGTCATCAAGATGGCATTGCTGTTCAACCTGTACCTTGTGAGGCAAAGCGAATCTTGAAAGAGAGGCGAAGCGATTATGGGTCATTCCGAGTGGGAGAATCTTCAATTGAGAAGTCTGATCATCCAGATCATCAGAATTTTATAGACTCTTACTCTGTTTTGCAACCACTGAGAAGCATGTTCATAGTGATGGCCCTTTCATTTCACTCCATATTTGAGGGACTTGCAATAGGATTGCAAGAGCGTGACAGAGATGTTTGGTACCTTCTAATTGCAATATCACTTCACAAGGTTGTTTTGGCTTTCTGTGTCGGAATGGAATTGGCTGCTTCTGGGGTGGGGAAACTTATGACCTTCATGTATATTGCTGTATTTTCCTTGGTCTCACCAGTTGGAATTGTCATTGGAATTGTGGTAACATCTGCTTCTAGTGGCACAGCCCTAGACTCTTCTGCCATAACAGTTCTTCAGGGCATTGCTGCAGGTACCTTGTTGTATGTGACTTTCTTTGAGGTGTTGCAGCGAGAAAGAGAGAAACCAGGGAATGGGCTTGTACGAGTTATGTTTGTTGTCGTGGGATATTGTATCATGGTGATACTGGAGGCATTCGGTGGGCAAGACCATCCACATGCAGGGAATATGAATGTAACATCTGTATTAATTGGAAATGACTCAGCTGAAATTGGGAATCAGCCTCTTCCCTAGAGAGATTTCCTAGAGGATACTCTTGCTTAATTACACTTGCAACCTATCTGTGATTCTCTGCTGATACTTAGAATGGCTCCATGGTAGTTCCATAGATCCCCATGGTGTTTTTGGTGGTTAATATTTTGCCTCCTTTAAGTGATCATGCATTTTGTATATGAAGTCATATAATGCCCTTATGGGAATACTTAATGGTTTCACAGTATGAGCTGTAGATGCTTACCCAATAGTGCAATATAATGGTAGAGGCTTTGAGAGTTGTTAATCTTATTCATGTTATATTCTTTTTTCTCATTCATGTGCAATTAATGGAACTATTTTTGTCAGTCATTTGTTGTGTTCCATCAGTCCTCTTTATCCTGTAAGTGCAATCATGGGGTTTGTCAGCATCCTTATGTTCTGATTATTCTTCCCAAGCAGGACTGGATTTTACTCTATTTCTAGTGTCTCATCATCACTGTTATTTTAATTCAAACTTGTGTTGTCTTCTAATTGCTGTCTTATAGATGTGATGAGAGAATTTGCTCTTTCACTGGTCCCTTGAACATCTGCATGTGATATTCCTGGAACCATATGCAAAAACTTTGCATTTAGATAAGTCTCATGACGTGAAGATCTGTCCTGCCATCGATGACAATATTGTATCCCGTTCTGATTGAGACAGGAAATGAAAGTAATTAGGGATTGTGTTTGTTTACTTGCCAATTGACTTACCACATACATGCCATGTATGTTCCTGAATGTGGACATCATTTATGGAGAACTCTCTAATGTCATGGCCATGGCACCATCAATGCATCAGGTGACTGCTAGAAGTGACACCAAGAAAATGGTCAGCATAATGCCATGTAACTCCAGGAAGTTTGATATCTTTGCTCTATCTCCCTTGGTACCACTTGGCAGTCTGGGATGCCTGCAAGTAGGCCTATAAATGATGTCGATGTCTCTCCCAAGTGTAAAGCCTGAGCAAGTGAGTGATGGCTGAACCTACTATGTCACCTTCCAGAAGTTCAAGCACATTTTTCTCCTACAGAGTTTTGAAATTCACTTCTGGGCCAGATTTCCATAATGGATTTATAAAAATCCTAATTATTGGAACAGACACTGGAACTTTAACTTCTTTTACAGAGAGGGACTCTTCTTATACAGGTACTAGTCATTTGGGAAGGTAGATGAACCTAAACAGCTGGACTTCCAAGTTTAATTCTTGAGACAATGCATTCTACATGCTTAATTAAAAAAATTCCAGAAGAGAGGATGCTAAATCCTTTGGCATTATAAAATAAAACTACTTCAGCTTGGTGTCCAAGTGCTGAGAATAATTTGGGCAAGAAAAAGTGTTCCAAGACTTTTGAAGCACTGCATGTCTTACCCAACAAATATATAGTGTCCCAAGTTTGAATACAGAATTGCTTCAAGTCCTGGCATCTTTTTTTCTCTTACTTTCTCCAGCAGCTGAAATGATCATGCAACAAAATCTCTGGTAACAGTCATTATCAAGAAGAGAGCATATACTGCAATAATCAAAGTGACACTAATCATCACTGGCTCCTTGCACCATTAGTATTGAAGGTGAGGGGTGAGGCACTTTTGCAAAATGACACCAAGAATATAGCAGCATTGGTTCAACATTCACAGTTACTAACAAGATGGATGAAGGTGTCATGATTAGCATTTCCTCTATTATGAAACAAGGGGGACCTTTGAAAATGGCCTTACTTTTTTGTGGCAGATTGATAGAGTTCATAGAGGCCCATATTATTAATGTGTAGTTGAAGCACTGAAATTTGGATGGCAGGAAAAAAAAAGCCATTTAGAACCTTACAAGGCATTGGTAAGTTACATCCTTGTGTCAAAGATGCTGATATCTGTCATAGATTCCTTCCTGTCTTTGGATCTTGTTCTCTTTAAGTAGTTTCCTTTTCATGATGCATTTTTTGGGATACTACTGATGCCCTTCCTGGTCATAATATTGTGCATATGTGATCACTCTGAAAGTTCTTGAGACTTCTCACCTACAAATGAGGATGAGATTCAGCCTACTCATTTGTTAAATGCACATGCTCTAATTTGCTTGTGCTAGTTTCATCCATTCCTGTTGACAATTGTGACATTGAAGCATTTGAAGTGGAAATGGGTAGTGACATCTAGCAGTGGCATGCCCAAAGGGGGGGTTTGGGGGGATACATTTTACAGGTTTGATTCTCAAAAAATTTTTTATTTGGCCATAAACGCAGGGTGGGTTACTAATTTTTCATGTCAACCCCCACCCCCCATTAGAATTTTCTGGGCATGCTACTAACATTTCATGATCATCCCTCTCTACAGGAGAAGCTATTCTGCCATTGGCTAAACTGATTCATCACCTTTGTGCCATCATTTTCTAGAAATGTAGAGCCTCACAAGATTGCATAGATGAAATTTTCCGTTTTTTTTTTTTAGAATCAAACCCCTTTCATATACAATGGTGTTCAACTGATACTGCCTCATTGATTGAGGTGATTTTGACTGGCCCTAATCTGAAAACCCTGACAGCAGTGATTCTACCAAAAATTGACATTGGACACCTGCTGATGAGGATATTCCATAGGATTCTTTATTGAATAAATTTTTTTACAACAATGACTCTAACAATTTTTTATCGAGGCATTGCTGTTAGAGGGTGACTAGGCAGCAGTTTTTCAGTCTTTTTTTTTGCACACTGGAAGAGGTGGTACCATTAGAACACCATTACACATGAAGGGACTTTGTATATACTGAAAATCCTAGACTGCTCATTTTGGCAAGCATCAGTTGAGATGGCTCTCTTACAGTTGCAGATAATGATGGCATGAAAGTGATGTTGTGTGAGGTTTGCCATGGGGAGAATCTACTCACTAGGTCTTCCTACCTATTAAATTAACTAAGCTTCAATGGAACAAGACAATACTTGCACAAGCAACATAGAAGTAGTCAATTCAATCAGAGGGCTTAAACTATGTACCATTTTCCATTCATTTATTGAAGGAAAGTGAAAATACCTTTTGGAGTGACCCTTACACAGATTCAGACCCACTGGTAATGCAAAAAAACCTGAAGCTGGCAACCCTGTGTTACTAGACAAAAAGGAGATGGGGCCATCAACTAGTTGACATTTTATCACCTTTAATTGAGGTGAATTGTCAAACTTTCTACCCTCCTGTCCATGCTCAGAGTGCATGAGTTTTAAAATCATATGTACTTTGATAAAATCAACATATAAATATATATGTGTGGGCAAAGAAAAACATTATTACAAAGCATTGGAATTTCATTTCCAGAAGCCAAATGAAGTCAAGAACACATGCGAGGTGACATTCAAGTTATGAGAGAAAAGTAAAAAATGGCAAGTCATTGACTAAGCAAGCTTTGGTGTCATAAACAGGAATTCTTCATCACATCAAGTGCCAAATCATTAATGCAGAGGACTCCAATCCACTAAACAAGCTCAGAGAGAGACTGACACCATGAAACATCCCCAAAATTGAGACTGATGCAACCCCATGATGACTGGGTCAATAGCTTTCAACAAGCTTATGGAATAACAGATCAAGCCATCTGTTGACAACTGGGTCTGTTCTAGGAAACACATTATCACGACTTTCAAATAAAAAATTTCCTTCTTTGGATTAGGATGGTTTCACCGGGCATAAATCTGTGCTCTATTCCTCTGGTATGATATGTCTTCTTTTTTAGTAATGCACAAGCATAATGAGAAATCACACAGACAAGAGACCACCACAGCATATTTCAAATTGAACATGAAAGAGTTAATGAAAAAAGTCCCAGGCTAAGTTAATGACCATAAAATACAGTACCGAGACCAATTACACAAAATACAAGCCACTTTGTTTCATTTGCTGGAAGCAGACATTTTGGACACATGCAACAATGAGATCACTGAGGAAGCATATTCAAGTGCAGGATGTCAATGACAAAGGGTATTCTAAATGGAGAAGGTTATCACGAAGATTTGCACAAGGGACTATGTTAACCCAAATCCCAAGCTTTCTGAAGCCAATGTGGGGCACACATCTAGCTGTGCATGAATAAACATTGAACAAAACACACACGAAGGCTCTGAACCCCAACAGACCCCAATATAGTACTATTGTATTAGAATCACAAGGATTGGCAATGGCATTTTGCCTGCCTACAACTGCTGAGCATGATTTTGTTCCACCACAGTTAGTGGAGAGACAAGAGGACCTGCTGCAACAGTGCTATGAGCTCTTTTTCATTGATTCTGCTTCAAGTGGGAGTTCCGAGACCATGCTCGCCGTTTTACTGGAAGGTGAGGCATATGATGGGTCACCAAGTGCAGGAGCCTTCCCGTTGTCTTTGTACCGATGAAGCCTTGAGTCATGTGTTGAACTTCCAGGCTTCCCAGAACCTCCTTCTCTTGGCTTGGATCTTGCAGTCAAAGGCAGTAACACAATCGACCCAATTGATGCAACGTGAAGGAAGAAGTACAAGCTCCTAAAAAACATCAAGATGAAGCATTATCTTAACTTCTAATCACCATGGCTAAAAGTATAATGGAAATGCTATTGGCACACCTGTAAACATCCACAGATGACCAGAATTCAAGGAGGGCAAAAGGGAAAGTGGCATAAGCAAGGATGACACGGGTGGTGACAGTGGTCAGCACATCATAGAACCACTTCCAGCTCTCAGACACCAGAAAATAAGGCCGGATTGTTCTCCTCACCTTCACAAGAAGAAAAATTAGGTCCAAAGGAACTCAGAGAAGGAATGCAATAATCCCATGAGTGGACTCACAGTGCGTGCAGAGATGGTGAACATTGCACCACACAAGAATGTAAGATAGTATCCTGGGTAAAGGCCATGCCAAATGGCAGATACAATGTAAGTAACAACTGTTGGTAGCACAGGAAAACGTTCATAAATTGTGGCACGAAGCCATCGATTTGTCCCCTTGTTCCAATGTTCGATGATTGCCCGGAAGTTTAGCCCCACCTGCATGAATGAGATGATCAATGATAGAAAAAAAGGAAGAACAATATGGCAACAAGTCATAAAGTGAAGTGAGATCTTTCCACATTCTTTCTGGGGGATTGCATCCCATGAGGGATAAAAGGAGTCACATGGAAGTGATGCAAGCATATAGTCAGCCACTCATGCTATTCAAGCTTTATTCAGTGTTTCAATCTCTTTTAAACATTTTCTGCATTTTTAGTACTCTGGGCATTGAACATAAGTTACATGGTGTTTAAGAGAAAACTCTGCCAAATAATTTTCACCAATGACAGTACTTTTCATCAGATTGATGCTATTTTTTAAGTACTGCATGTGAATAGAGTAAAGAAGGTAATAACCTAATTTAAAGAAAATTGAGGTGTTCTATGCCAGTTCAAACATGATAGGTAAAAAAGTGTGTTGTACAAGCCAGCTGATGCATTCACCTCAGTCAATGAAGCAAAAAAAAGTTTGTGCAAGCCTTACCAAAGAGGTTGAGGTCATGTTGTTCTCCCTTTGTCACCTATTTTGGTAGCAAAATTTTTTACCAGTTCGAAGGAAATTCATACCAGGTATTGGCCAAACATTTCTTAACGAAATTAGGCAATGAAGAGAAAACACCATGCCCTCTGCCTCTTTGGCTGTTTGGTAGGGCATGCACAGACTTCTGTCCACTGGCTGAAGCAAATGCACCAGCAGGCTTGTATGGCACACTTTTTTACCACTTTTACTGCCATGGATCTCAATAGCCATGTAACTGCCTAGCAGCAGGTAAATATCACCTATCTATGGTCTGGAAAATCAGTTATCAGCATGATAGGAACACAAAAGGAGCTTACTGCATTCAAATGGGGCATGGCAATTGGCAGTTGGCTGGCAATTGTCAGGAAAGCTACTAAAATACTTTTAAACCAGGTCTGCAGTATGGTGGATGTCATAGGATGATGAAAGGCTTGTGGATATACTGGGTGGTGCAAAAAAATACATATTGTTTAATGCTTTATAAAACTTGCTCTGGATCATCTAGGTTTGTGATTTTTCATTTCACATGGGAATCATTAAAAAATTAATTTCCTGAAAGTTTCGTGTGTCTAGGGTGTTCTAGGACAGAATATTCCACTCGCTAATTACCAGGGATCAGTATAGGATTCTAGCAAGAGAGGCAATGACCAAGGAATATATGACCATTCCTGTGTTATACAAATCCTCCTTTCACTCATAACATAATATCTTTCTTCTCTTGAGTATGGTAATTCCATTCAAAAAATGCAAAGCAAAGGCATATTATTTTCTTCCTCAAGCTCAGTATCCTAAATTTCACCATAATATATTGATAAGTCTCTTGCTGGTTGTCAATTTCAAATCAAGTGAAGGACTCATGACTCCAGCTCTTACATTTACCTTAAGAAAAATGTGATTTTTCCAAGGAGAAACTAGCATCTTAGCCTAATATGGAAAAATTTTACTTTTAACACAGTTATAGTCAATGGGTCAATAATAATAACATAGTCAGCAAAAAATTCAATCTGTAGGACTCCTGCCATTGACAATAAGCCTTCTGCTAACAAAACAGCCCATAGGATATGGACAATAGCAAACAGAAGTCGAAATGGAAGAGTGGAGACTAACTTCAACTGGGATTATGTCCACATTGGAGATAAGATCCCATTTCTCAAGTCCCTGAGGGGTATAACCATTGAAGCCAAGGCCAGAGGCATTGCAGATGGCATCAGCAAGAATCCATGCTGTGTAATACTTCCAGCGTGCTATGCTTGTTATCAGAACCACATATGTCACCTTTCTAAGAATATTCATCTCAAAAAAGGCCTCCTCTGTGCAAAAAGAAAGAAAATATCCCTATATAAAACATATATTATCCCAATGTTTGATTTCCATTAGCCAATACCAAATGTCTCACCTTTCAAGAAGCCAACAGGAAACCAGGGAGCAATCAAAATAACACCAAGAGCAAAGAAAATACTGAGACACACTTTGTTTGTAACTGCTACTAGTGAAGATGGCCCTCCCCCTCCTCCAAAGCTCTGTTGAAAAGATATCATCAGAAATAAGAATAACGCATTACTGATCATTTCCTTTTGAACAAAAAGTCTCATCCTTGTTCAGGTGTTAGAAAGAGATTCCTCAAGGTATACTTACACTTTTACTTTTAACACCCAGTTTCTGAGTCAATGAGATCAGTTACAGGGGTGGGGTAGAGACTAACCCATTCCGGCATTACTACAACCCCTATTCCATGCATAAGTGGAGGAAGCTGGGGATGTGGGGCTTCCTCCAGTACCTTCAGTTTTAGCCATCTCCTATTGTAGACGAAGATATGGAGAGAAGGGTGAGGTCTGCCACAAAAAAAACATGGAAAAACTGAAGTGGCTGGACCTCTGTCAGGGGTTGCATCAATGTCGTCATCATACAACGTTGATTCAATGTTATATGCTACAAGGGTTACATGCCTATAAAAGGTGGCAAAGTGTTATTATGCATTAGATATAGCAAGTCTGGTTGTGATCACAATGGAAAACCAGAGGAAGTGAAGCTGTTGTGCAAAAGGGGAGGGATGGGGGGGTTTACACAAGAGGATGTGAATCCACTCATAACACCAGCAAAGATATTGTGACATGGTTAAGCACCTGTATGAGGCAGAAGCAAAATAGGTTGAGTGAAACAACAGGCAATGAAGAAAGAATAAAGAAAAGGCTTTGAGAGTTGTTCCTATTAGTGCCTGCTTGATAATAGGAGGGAAAAACCCAGTGTTATGCTTGGCGCAGTGGTGTGGCCAACTCTCGGGGATACCCCTCTTCTGATGGAGCTTGTGATGAAGGGTTCACTTCATTGAAGGAAAAAATGTATTTTTTGGAGGTTGGAGATGGGCTTTCTGAAAAAACTTCTCCCCTTTGTGTACAACTAATACCAGAATGACTTGGTTCTTGTAGCACCCACCAAAATAGCTCGTTTTGGTCTCCTTGACTCAGAGACTGGGTGTTAAACATAGTATCTTGGAACAACCATAATAAATGAATAAAAAGTACTGGAAGGAGCATGTCAGCCTTCCCAAACACTTTTAGAATGCATGCAAGAAACCCTTACACTCTTCTGGTGTTTTCCTCCTTTCAAATTTTGCCCAGTGACAAACTCAGCATAGTCATTGTAGAAGACGAAGGGGCCAGCCAATATCCCTTGGAAATTAAAGCAGTAACTGAAGTACTCCAAAATGGATGGAATCCTCCTGGAATATGAAAGTCAGAAACTGCAGGCTGTATTTAATTGAGTTATTTGAATGAGACAAGTCACCAACTCATTCTTACTTGACACAATGCCTCTTTTGTAATTCTTGTAAAGAGTTTGGATCCTTCACAGTTCCATCATGAAGGCTGAAGGCCAGGCTGGTGACCTTTTGGGTCAAGATCATCAAAGGTCCTAGGAAAAAAAACAAAAACTAGTAAGTCAGAAAATACCAATATCACTGTTCAAATAGCAACTGAACAAGAAGGCATAAAGGGAGCAAACAAATTGTGAATGAGAATCAATTTGCTTTTTGTATGTTTCAGAGTGAATACAGCTTATTTTGCATGTCTTGCTTCTCTGAGTGCCTAAGTGTGATATTCAGCATCTCTTGGAATGTTTCAACATCCAACAAAAGGAAAAGAGAGGCATTCAGTAGACCAGTTGATGTAAAAACCAGCAGCTACATCTGGAAACTTAGGTCAGGACTGAAACTCCAGGATAGAGTGGGAGAGCCCACAGATAGGTAACATGGATTTGACTCATCACTTGATTCTATAATATGAATTTTCTAAATAAATAAAAACCCAAGATCCTCCTGGTTGCTACAGATTTGGCCTTCATATTCTTGATATGAAAGTCCTTTGGAGTTTTAAAATATGCATATATCACAGGCTGCCCTGGCTAGGTTGCAATGATAAACATTCTGGAAGGCAAGTCCAGCACGAATACATTCAAGGGATAATAAAGCAAAGAGTTTCTGCATCTCACCTGTGATGTCAAGAGCATAGTCCCCATAGTTGAACATAGCTCTCTGAACGTGGATGACAGATAAGTAGGCCATGCATATGGTGAAACATGCCCTAAAAGAGAAGCAATGGAATGCAGATAATTTTGAGCCATTAAGTTCAGGAACATATCTAAAAACCAATGAAAGAACTTACACATGGAAAAATTTTGAAGGAAAGAACCTGATGATGAAGTATGCAATGGAAGGATGCAAAATCAAGTGGATGATAAACCTGTAAAAAAAAAATTATTGGTCCTCCATCATGTTCCTTTCAAAATGAGAAATATATTTAAAACACCATGGTATAACCTTCCAAGCATAAATTGGTATAAATGGGTTATCATACTGAAATATCTTTTTATATGACCATTTTCATTGGACCTCAACATTGATGACCTACTCTTACGCATGGACATTGAGGTTGAATGAAAGAGGAATGGGCACTGTAGGTCAGATTTTGGTCTATCTGCTTTCCTCCACATGTTAATATTTATTGAAAACTGGATTTTTCATTTTCACTCCAATGAATGTATATTGAATAAAATATAGAAAAATCAAAATGTCCAGAATTCTGGACACCAGGACTAATGAGGTTAAGGTATCCAGTATCATCAAAAAATTTATTTTAATGCCCATTCAAGTCCCCACCAGTATTTGGTGAGACCACCATTGGCATCTCTCACAGCAGATTAATTGTGCAGGGTATGGCCAGAGCAAGCTTTTGTCCATGGCATATTCCTACCTGTGCTCCAACCTGCATTCAAGTGTTCAATAAGCTTTTGTTCAGAGAATTTGCATCCTCCATCTTCAAAAAGCATCCTCTCTTCAACTTGTTCTTTCAAAATGGCTTTAACCCTTTTGCGCATACATTTTTAAAGCAAAACAAAAATATGCCTTTTTTGGTTTAACATTTATGGAGGTACTCTGCTGTAGAAGTCCAATGTTTAATCACTAGAAAGCAACACTGAACAGATTATGTGCCCTTGAGTTGAGTGCATGCACCAAAAGTTTCAAGGTATGTGTACCATGACCAAAAATCCATCATCACCAAAAATTTTGCTGTCCACTATAGTAGACACCCTGCACAAAAGGCTTAAAATATTCTGCAGCGTTCAAGTTGGCTGATGCATCAGAACGTTCAAGCTTCAATTTATTCCACCTTAATGAAGGAGCATTCAGAGTTGCATTGGCATAGAATTAAGGGGCTTTATTAGGGAGAAAGCCCACCTCAGTAAGACTGAAGACCTTCCTGGGATCCAAAAGGAAGTTCAGCATAGAGGATAACATTAAAAAAAAAAGGAGAAGAGAGAAACATGCACACACGCACATGCACGCACACACACACTCTCTCACTCTCTCTCTCTCTCTTTTTTCTTATTTCATAGGAGGAAGGGGGGAGCATAGGCATCATCAGTGTGAACACCTGCCAAGACCTAACAGTATTTCTGAAAGCAAAATGTGAGGATGATGCAATATCAGCAACCTTTCCCAATTAAGGATGCATTGGTACAGTCCTAAATTAAAGCATTCAACAAACCTCTAAGGCCCTACAAAACCCTTCACAAACTATTTAGAATGAACCTATGAAGTGATGCATAATTGCAATTCTGATAATAACTAAGGTAGCCAAATGCTTTCCCCCCTATTCTGAGACATCAAACTCAAAAAATTCAAGACATTATCAGTGCCTATCAGGATGGATAATAAAGACTACTCCATGATCCATCCTGAACTCATATATAAATATCTAAGTCCACATTATAAAATTGTAAATAGCAGTGCATGACATTTTCTCTCACTAAGCCATCCCATATTTTAAAAACAGTACAGGAGAGATTGCATGCAGAATCTACGCAACTTTTTTTTAAGGATTACTGACTGAATATTATTGTTAACAAATCAATTCATTCAAAGCATGCATCTTGAAAGCAGTGTCACAAATGTATTCTTCACTGGGGGCATGACTCGGACAAGTCAGTAGTTGCTTCACCATGACAGCTAAGGCCTATATTGTATTGTATGAAAAAGAGAAATGGAGAGCCAAAGCAACTGAGTATCAAGCTCTGGATGTCAAATGCTAAATGAACCATAACTCCCAAAGTAACTGTTAGTGATACTAAACTATTGTTAGGGCAAATAGGCAAAGGACTACAGAAAATCTCCATTCAAACATACTGGCTCAGGGAGGATTAGGGAAGGAGTTGACAGCACTGTTTCATTTTGTACTTAAATCATACCCAAATGTTATTGTATAGCAAGCCCTTTTACTTTCTTATAAACAGATATTCTTCTATAAGATGAGTACTTTTCCATGTTCAGTTACAGGTGGTTGGCAAAAATTAAATTAAGATTACTTCAAGCTGTGATATTAGCAAATGTAAACAGCATCTACAACAGGAGTCTACCACCCTCTCAAGCAAGTGCCACCAGTGCAGCCCTATGGCAAAGGGCTGGATTGGGAGACATTGAGAGAGAAACAGGCAAAGCAGGTTCCTATCAGTGTAGACCATTATCTCATCAAATAAGATATTTAAGTCAAAGTTCCCCTTCTAGTGATTTTTACAGTGAATGTGACTCTACAACAATGATGTAGTGATGGTCAGCCAAGTTATGGAAACATCAGTATATTTTATTTAAACCTTCAACTGTCAGCTTGACTTCCAGGTTGAGCTGCTCAAGCCTAGAAATCTTGTATAAAAGTGAGAGGTAATTGAAAACTAATAATACCTATTGCATTACAATGTGCATTATACACATTTAATTGGAGAAAAACATTCAAATTCGCATGATTTCTTAAAAGTATGAATATGAGATATTTTGCATCAAACTGTCAAAATTTGCAAAAAAAAGAGAGAAAAACTGCAATAAGGAGAATTTGTGAGAGACAAAGATGAGAGACAAAGATGTGAGATAAAGATATGAGACAACATATGCATGACAAAGCTTTTCTAGACATGAAATATAATAAATGAAAAATCAAGAAGTTTGATAACACAAAACATCTTTTACTCAGCTATGGTACTGACCCTGCATTTTCAATAAGCTCCCAGTTGGAAACAAATATACATTTAAAAAGTATTTATGTTCTTCAAAATCAAGAACATCTTTGATGTTTCAGAAACTCCCCATTCGCCACACAGTAAGTCTTCAGCCAAATTATATCAAAATTATTCTGGTGTGTTCCATATTGGGAATACGATGCTATGAACAGTTAAACAAACCAGTTCCAATTGCTGCTTCATTACAGGTTGTACTTCCAATGCATACTCATATTTTCTCTAACCTTTCAACACCTACTTACAAGGTGACACTTTTTGTGCAGTTTAAGAATTCTCCAAATGTAAGGCAAGTTCATCAGGGGTGCATTTAAATTTCTAAATATCACAACATTTAAATGTAAACATGTAACACATTTAAATGATAAGACCATATTAAAGCTGTAAAGATCTGATGGTATCTAAATATCTAAGAAATGACAGAACTTGATAGTTTAGAATCCTCTGTTCAAAACTATCATCAAAATTTATTTTAGTTATTTATACAAGTGCCAGTTAAAAGGCAAAACATGGAGGGATGAAAGATGAAAGGAAGGAAGAGAAAGAGGGAAGGAGGGCTGAGGGAGGGGAGAGGGAGAGCAAGCTCTGTCTTCACCTCATCAGGCCTTTAGCCTGCAGATCTCTAACATTGGTCTAGGGTTATTTGAGTCAAGGAACACTAGCTTCAAAGGCTAAATTTACATGACTCACTTTGTGCACATGTTGACCATCTTGTTTCATGTGCAAGTAAGGATATTGATGCTTCCCACCTGGAAGCAACCTTGACAGCTTGAAGCCTGCTTTTACCAGGTGGGAGAATCCCCAGCTCTGGATATTTATTTCTTATTTTGGCATCTTTTCTCTTCACTTTTCTTGTCTATGCCAAGGAGTGAGAACATTAGGCCTAACCAATTTTAGGGATGGGACAAATTTGGTCATAAAAGTCATGACTGCAATTATTTCTTATTTCAAATATTCCATAATTTACAGAAATTGGTGCAAGTTTTGCTTTGATGATTCTTTAGGCCAATATCCATAAATACTAACAGCCTCAGGGCTACACAACAGACCTCTCATCATTAGTGAATTTTCTCTGATAGGGTCTTCACAATTTATTTTTGCAGATGTTCCATTAATTGCTTAAACCATAAGAACTTCACTGCCTAAAGTAAATTTTCAGGAATATATCATTCTGGATTTCTTTGAACCAATAAGTTCACATCTCACAGGTATTGATAAAACCTTCATTCTTTTTTTTCTGTGCAATACATTAGTATGTAATGGTATCTATGTGCAATTGAAGACATCCACCTTTTTCATGTTTTCACTATAAGTGAAACATCAACCTCAAAATGATTGGTGCCATTTCTGTTATTTCTAGCAAATGAGAAAAAACCTGCGATTTTAGAGCTTTGTTGTTTCTGCATTACCAGTACCCCATTGGAATTACTCTTCATTAGCCTCAATTCCTTCAATACAGAAATGAATCTATCTTCTCAAAAGAGTTCAGTATAGCACAACAAGAAAAATTCCAAAGATATTGTGATTTTTTTTTTAAACTCCTCTGATAACCTGATAGTACTTCCATCAAAATACAATTAAATAATCTCATTTGAAAGCCTGGATAGTAGGTGCAATCACTCCTTCTCCCCTTGGATAGTGAAAATTTTCCATGTACTCCACAGACATTGATATATAATCTTTCCTCGTCACAACTGATTCATGTGAATTTTCCTGAATCACCTTAGATAAGAGATTATATCAGAGACCACTCAGATATAGCTTATAATATCTTGCTCACCCAAAAAATTAATTAGTTGTTCTTGCAATCCATATATAATTGCCCCCAGGTTTTCTTTTTTTCATGCCATACCATTGAAGTTACCATTACTGCCTTTACATATCTTACAGGCTTACCTCAATTCCTTTCTGGAACTGGCTGCATCAGGATTTGAAGCATTTAATGGACTTTAGGCATCACAATTGCATTGAATAAAGCTGATCTGAGTCTATATCTGAGCAACAGCCTAAGATATCCCTTCTTGCACCATTCCCAAGAGATAAACCATTGGCATTGCTGGGAATAGGAGAAAGTGACAGGCCTCCTTTGCAAGTCAGATAAAAGTTGGAATGAAATTGGAAAGGTAAAAGTTATCTTCCACAAAAAAGTATAAAGGCTCCCATATTCCAGAAAAGCAAAAACAATCACCCAATTCTATAAATTCCAGTTGCAGAAAAAAAAAGCACCACTGTTGAAATGTTTTCATCCAGAAAATATGCTTCAATATTGCTTTGTAGACAACACCCATCATCACATTTGGCTTGATATACAAGTTGGCGTGAAAGCAATCAAGCAGACTGGCTTCCTTCTTTTGAAGAGAGACTAAAAATAGACAGGGATTTCAATTTTTTTTTTTTGCAATCTTGTAGGTGCTTCTGTGGCTATACAAAATGAATTCAAATTTCTGAAAATTATATTTTTGGGGGGAGACAACATGTAGGATTGCATGAATCATGGAACACACATGACTGTAGCCATGACTGATATAAAAATGCAAACAAGGGCATACTTTTCTCTCTGCACCCAGAATCTCATGTATTCACAGCAGCCCCCCACTCCATTCTGCCTTTCCTTCTGAAAGAAATTCCTGGCTATGCCCTTGTTTATGTCTGAGTCTATGGATACTTGTATGCTCAAGTCAAAGCTGCTGTAACCCTTTCTTTTACAAGCCATGACCCACACTAACCAAGCAGACAATTAACCACCATAGGGCATGTAGAAACTCACTTGCCAAAGCAAATGTATGAGATGCCAAGCCCTGCTAACAATGCCAGGACATGCCGCTTGGTTGTTGTCACCTTCTCTGGGTTGAAGAATTCACGGTAAATGAAGGAGAGGCCCAATGCCAAAGCCTGGCATGCCATAAAATTGACCTGCAACATGAGTAGGTCTATTAATTGGCACAGGACCACAAGACCTATAAGATGATCAATAGGCCTATAGGACTTTGGGTCTACCAGAAGGTCTAATGTTAATACACAGTTGCTTGCTGTTAGATATTGTATACCAGGGAGGGGAGGGGAGGGGAGGGGAGGGGAGGTCGTATATAGACGCCACTCGGGGTGGGGGGTGCCGGAGGATTCACGCTTGTCTAGCCACAATCGGGCGGAGGCTTAACTTCCATCGTTTCTTGCCTTGATCGGGGTCCCACTTTTATCTGTCTTATACAGGTATAATCTCACGCCTGTGGTCGGGGAGTGCGGAGTGACCTTCGCGACGAGTAAGGAAGTCTACTATGCCTCCAACTATCGAAAATGACATCTATTCATCGATGGATGCATCGGGACAGCCCTAATTTTTTCCTATTGCCGTTGAGAACCAGTTGACAAGACCCGTTCACCTAGTTTTTTCCCTCACTCTTCTTTTTACACGGTTCTTTGGACATCAGCATCGGTAGATTGCAAGCCTGCCGAAGGCCGATGGTGCCATACTAGCGGTTCCGATACATCGGTACAACCATAGATTCAAGCGAAGTCCTCTTAAAAATTCACTCTGAGTTCACCTTAAGTAAAGAGGTAAAATGCTCCAGGGCATGTCAATTATAAAAAACTTAGGGTGGATTTTTGAACAGAGCATTATCCGATAATGCTGCTTTATTTCAGAGAAAATGCATTGTAAATCCGGTAAATAAAGCTGCATTATCGGATAGTTCTCTGTTCAAAAATCCATCCTTAGACTCACATACTGAAGAGAAAGACAGGAAATATAGAGAGGGGAATTAACCAATGTACGTTTCGAAATCAAGGGAGTAAAAGAACTGTCCATTTTCCAGCATGCATCTGATGAGATCGAGCTGGAGACAGAAACTGAAGCGAAAAAAATAGTCCCGGTCTTCCCTCCCTCTCCTTTCCCACTTCCTGTCTCCAATTCCAACGGTTTTTTTTTTTCCCCTTTCCGTCTTTCACATAGATCTCAGCATTTCCAGGATTTTATCGTGATACGAAATTGCAAGCCCATGCGGGTCACACGGCCTCTTCCATTCCCCGCCCGGACGGACTGTATTGTACTGTACTCTTCTCATTCCAATGGGAATTTTCCCCTCCAAAAATTTTGCCGAAGCACCGCGATGACCGAAAAAACCTATCGATATCTCCAACCATCGATAGTGGTATCAAGCCAGGGGCGGATACAGAAATTTTTCATAGGGGGGAGCGGTTCCCAAGTTCCTACCCCCCCCCCCCCCCCCCCCCCCCCCCCCCCCCCCCCCCCCCCCCCCCCCCCCCCNCCCCCCCCCCCCCCCCCCCCCGCCTACCACCATTCCTCGTCCTTTCGCCTTTTTTATTTTTCGTCTGGGGTAAGAACTTGAGTGTCTATTTCAATGGCTCCGATAAAATTTAATGCAGATACTATTTTGAATAAATAAATCAAATACTAACCTGGCCATAGGGGGGGGGGGGGGCGGTCGCCCCCCCCCGTATCCGCCACTGGTATCAAGGGATCGGCCTATCGTGACAGAACAAGTACTTTTCCAGAAGCGAAGATGATTCACAAATCTCATGGTTTTGTTCGTTGCTGTTTGAATTTCATGGGTAAGGGTTTTCACTGCTAGCCCCCAAAATACCAAGCAGTAGTTTAAGTAAGCATGCAACAATACAAAATAAAAATTCTGCAAACCCCATTTAGGCAGATAATCTATGATTTTATGCATAATACTAACATTGAAGGCTATTTTTCTGTTGCACTTTGAATGTGCATTTTCAGCTGAGTCTACTGTTGTATCTTAGTATTTAGTAACTGCAAGTCTTATCTGGGCTTGTTCCATTCACCTTGAGGTCATACTTGGTTAAAACCTAACCTACCTAACAGGCAAGTAAGTGTTAATGTGCTGATCAAGACAGTGACTTCCAAATTAGTCATCTTTGCATTATTGGCACTGGCCTACCCCAGCATTTACCATTTCACTCTTTTATGTTCAATCATTTTGGTAATGCCTGTTGAGATGTAAGATTCATGCTCTTGCTGTTGAACCAGAGTGCAACTCACCATGATAAACTGGAAAGAAATCCTTTAAGCCATCAAGCACTGCAATCAATCCATCAACTTGTGGTCTGTACAGAATAGTCTGAAATTAAGTATAAAGAATACTACTACCCTGATATATCGTTGAAATAATAACATTCAAGAAAGGGGCCCTAGGGTTAACTGGCTGACCTTTTCTAACTGCAAATAAAATCAGTTTTGATTACATGCTTTGATAAAATCCCATTCCCTGTTACCAACATAAAATAATGTAAGCATCTCCCAGGTGTAGGATAGGGAAACTCTTCCCACCACAAAAGAAAAGAAAAAAAAAAGGAGAAACATGAGCTGCCCTTTTTCCTTTCTCTCTCTATCCATATTATCCCCTTAAGAGTGTTTTTTTAATTATAATTTCCTACATATACTGACTCCCACAGTTCATTAATTTTTTCTCTCTCTTTTGTTCAATGTAGAAATTTGCTCCAAAAAGTTCTGACCCAAAAGACCTTCACTTCCATCTTATCCTGCATTGCAGAAGGAAACATCAGAGAAATGAGGCTCTCAATCATGTTGCACTCTCTCCTTGTTTTTTCTCCCTTCCAATGTCACTCAGGTTATTTCCTGTCTCACTCTGAGGTCTCATCTGGGTTCTCATGTACTTGTCTTGAAAGAGAAATCATTCTTGTATCCTTTGATACAAAATACTAGTTGAGGGAAATATACAGTGCATCCCAGTAAGAGGGCAAGACTTTTGTTTGAAATAACAGTCATGCTAGAAATTAGTCATTTTGACCTAGGAAGTAAACTTTGAAATGTGGTGCATCTGAGCCAGAAACACTCCAGAGGAACAACAGACACATTTGGAAGAACTTTGTTAGACCATTATCTGCAATTTGGCTATGTGCCCATATAGAAAATCATATATGATATTATATGAACATGTATGGAAATATATATCTGGTCATATTGATCAGATTGAAACAGTGAGTATATGATCTTATATGGCAAGGCCATATAAGATCATATACAGCCTTGATCATATACAGCCTTAAGATCATATACAGCCTTTCAAAACATGGTATAAGTAAATAAGTAATGTATGGCTTACTCTATAAGGAATTGCACGCAAGCCATTATGCAGGATTATAACCACCATTAAAAAGAGCAGCAAAACCTTTCCAGCATGAAGCATGAAGTACTTGTAAATTATATATGAAAAGGCCACAAAGTGATTGTTTTTCATACCATATGGCCATACTATATAAATCATATATCCCAAATGCATATACATTTCCAGAAAAACATATTCTTTAAATGAAAGCATTCATTTAAAGTGTGTATTCATAATATATTAAAGTTATTCATAAAAACCATATACTTAAACTAGGTGTATCATATATGCAGGAGTCCATCCCTCAAATTGTATAATTCTTTTATACAGAACATATATGCTGCCCTGGTATGCTTAATATATGAATAATCCTCACATGGATCATATGCTCCAACCATAAGTGCCTGCATATATGTGCATGCATATTTCAATACATGATAAATATATGAAACTATAAAGCATAGATAATTGCATATAACTACCATATATGATCTTTCCATGTGGGTGTTCAACACCACATGTGTTTGCATTTTAAATTTCACATCAGCGACAGAACCTGCTTCCTGGAACTTCTAATGATTTGCATAGATAGCTTCCCTGGAAGGTGCAGCTTTCTGAAAATGCACAGAAATGGTCACTCAAGCATTCTTCACATTAGGTTCAAGTTCCATAGGTGCCACAATATGATGTCTCTCTAACATAGTGAGGTGACGTGATCAAATTAATAGAAAAGCAAAAGAAAAGGTAACCCAATTACTTCCCTTTCTTAACTGTAAAAACATAATCTGCAACAATAAAAGTTAAAAAAAAAATAGTTAGCATCATATATATGTGAACATATAAAAGTGTTATTCTCTTACGGGGGTCTACTGAATGATTGAAGTAAAGGGTTGGGACAATATCAGTCCTTTTCCAGAAGTCAAAAGCTTTCCCTGAACTTCAATTAACCATCAGATAATAATATTTTCCACAAGCTGAATGTAGCAGTATATAATGTACAACACCTTAGCAAAGAACTCATAAGAACAGAACCAATGGCAGTTAATAAGACACTGGAGTGAGACCTATCATGATGACCAAATTCAGAAGCTGACTGCTCCTCTAAAGCCATTATAAATTGCAATGGAATGCATCCTCCAAATGAGCAACACATTTGTAAGCTTCATGAGCCAAGCATTTGTAGAGTGTGACCAAGGCCACTCAATTTTGGTACCAGAAGTTACAAAAATTTGCTAAGCCAACCACATCAAATGCCATCAAGCTTTCAACTGATTCACTGGCTTACCTTTAAGGCATAATCTTCCTGTTGATTAAGCAGGGATGCAATCAATTTAAACTTGTGGCTGTCTTTTCTCCTCAGAAGGAATTGGGGAGCTGATGTCCTGTGTTCCATACTTGGAAGGTGAGGGATGGGCTAAAATTTGCTATAAATAGAGACACTACATAATGTAGGAGGTCTCAGTAGGTGTTATGTCCTTGCAACACATGTATAATTAAGTGCTGCATCCAGTGTGTACCTAGTTTGTGCTTGTGCTCATATTTATGACAAAAATTATTAGAGATAAAAATTAGAGCAGAGCAGATGGTGGCTATGTCTTATGCTATAAATAAATACCTTTGAAAACAAAACCTGCATCATCACCAGTGAAGACTATCACTTTCAACTGGAAGTGGTTGTCTTAGGCTTCACTGCATTTGAAATAGACCTAAGACATTGCATTCCGAGAAAAGGGTATCTTGGATTCTATAGATCAAAGAAAGAGTCATTTGAGTAACTTGGAAAATATCAGGAAACCCGACAGTCAAAGGAATTTATTCTCAGAGAACTCTCAGGGGAGAACTTTTCAGCACTTGTCACCTGTTAAGCATTGCTTCAAATCCATAATTTGAAATTAAATGGCACCCACTATACTAACATCTATGGTGGCACAATCAGATTTTCAGATTTTAGTCAGAGGGGGTTGACCTGCCTGCCAGAATCAGAAAAAAAGAAAGATTCTTGGAGCTATGAGGGGGGGAATACTCCACAGAAATTTTATTGGTTGCATAAATACATCAGCTGCTACACAAGTGGGGACGTTAACTATCCATCATATGCAACCTTGGGAAGGGTGAGGGTAAGGATTTTCTTTCCTGTGGGGGAGTTATAAGCCCCTGAACCCCCCTTAGTTGCACCACTGCACTTTGGACAAACAAACCTGGGTTACAGAAACTGTCATGGGTGGAACTCTGACCTAAGCATTACAGGTATGCAGAAGCGTTTTGAACTCCAGCATAATATTATCCTCTACTACTCCAACCCCTAGGCATTCACTTAATAGCCTCCTTTACTATTTTCCAAAGATATTTGAAGGCATTACCTACAAATAATTCATCACTTTGATGAATGGTATTTTTTATTGTTCTTGTCCTCATCCTCGCCTGAAGCTCATGTTACAAGAGTATGATGAATTTTTCCTTTTAACTTTTGGGAAAAACCAGTGTGACAACATTATTGCAATGAAAGACAAGGAAATAGATTTGTCTGGCTTATTAAAACCCATGGACATGTTTTTCATGGCAATAGAGTAACAATACCAATATCCTCAAGTGCAGTATTCAGTCTCACCCTGATTTGAAAGATTTGACCACCATTTTTGCCTGGCATAATTTTCCCATCAGATTGAAAGGTTATTACCAGTTAGATTTCAACTATCTATCTTTGGCTGAAAGTTCATGATAAAAAATTCATATGATGCCTCTTTGAATCCTTCTTCCCAAATGAACAGTAACATTTAACCTGGTTTCTCACATCCTTTGACCTTCCCAACCCCTAACCTTTGGAGTTTCATGTTTTATTTCCATTCATTTTATGGAAGCCTACTGAGTCTCATTCGACAATACACAAGGCTCAATAGGCCAAAGCCTTGCCTAATCCCAACATTCCTAACGTATGCTAGCCTGTAATGGCTAACGTTAACGTATGGCCTCATCAACCCAAATAAGGAAGCCATTCAGGGAACTGTCAAGACATTCATTACACCAGGCTTATGATCTCAACTTGAAGCCAAGGTTTAGGTTTATGCGTGGAGGTGCCTATTGATCGAAATCGTCCCAAAGCGAGCCTAGGAATAAATGGGGGTGATGCAGTCAATAGTCAAGGACATGCAGGTCTTGAGAGAGGTAGGCCTACATACCATAGGTTAAGAGTCTTTTTTTGCACCAAGTAGATACCTACGGCGAAATCACAAAAGACGTACCTGGTCGATAGGGATATTAATGAAATCAGAAAATCCCTGAAGTCGTGTGGACCCATCAAAAAGGGCAGAATCTGCCCACGCTTGCCGATCGTGAGTCGCCATCATGCTCCTACATCGCGTGATCCTTCAAAGTAGACGACGTCTATGACGTAAGCCTGTTTCAAGGTGGGTTTTGCGACACGTCACCTTGGGCGAATTTGAGCCACGATTGAAGCGGTGGAGCGCTTCCCTGAACCAATCACTGATGCTCTGGATCGAATCTGCTGAACAGTGTCACAGAATCTATTGAGAAGGAATAGTCTGGAAACTCCATTATTATGCCCTATAGGAATAGAGGGGCTGCAGATACTAATTTTTGAGGAGAAAACGGCACGTCCTGCTCAACTTTGATTCATCCCTCCGTCCTCCGTCGCTCAAAACATTATCTTAACGGGAACTTCGTGTAGACACTATTTTGTGGGGCATTATTTACGGGGTATGATTAATGCCAAATGTTTACCAATCATTGGTGCTGCAATATGGGGATTGTTCAATTTCTCCTACGAGTGGACGATATGTACCCAAGATTGCACCTATAATATTGGACCAATATGGGACTCGTAAGCTTTGGTAAAAACCGTTCAAGTCTCATCATAACCACTCGACGGCGCTGTCCGCGTTGCTGTTTCGCTTTAAAATAAAGCATTTTTCTTTCCCTGAAAGACATACAGCCGATGATCATTTCATACTCTCTCATATCTCGCTTCGCCTCATTCGAAGAGACCGTAATAGTAGTACATTCATTCATGTTCCAAGAAAGAATATTGTGGAATCAAAGCTACCAGTGAGGTAATGTCTCCTTATAAGGCGGGTGTTCCGAGGTGTTCCGAATCACACGTTCCCCGAGAAAAAAAAAAAAGCTTTAATCGAAATCTTTTAGATCATGCACGATCTCCGGCCCGCAGCCGGATAAAATCCTTCCACTGGCACTTCCATTCCCTTGGATGGGCCATCCCATTGAAGATTGACCTGCGTCTCCCCCGATGTCTGGCCCGCGGTGGGTACCCAGGAGTCACCATCTGATCCTTTTGCGGGGAAGGTTGTGCATCCCTGTTTTAGACAATCTTGCGAATGCCTCCCGAAAGTAACAGCAGGATTGGACACCGCATTCTGTGATTCAGCTGGTGTGGAAGGTATTTAATTTAATTTAGAATCTAGGCGCCTTAATTATGTTTTGCTAATGCGGAGATGAGTGAGACATGAAATCTCACAACACTGATTGCATCGTCCCTGTCGGACAAACGCTTGGAATTGCATCATTCTCTCTCGAGACCTGCAGGAGCAGCGCTCACGCGAGTGCGACAATGATGAATGTGTTGGCAGTGCAACGACTTTCTCGGGTGAAATCGCTTCAACAATTGTGAAACCCAACGTGTACTGAACAAATTTCCCAGTGAAATTTCATCCAGCTTTGATCGACGCTCTCGATTATGTTTCTTTCTTGCACATTTGGCTCGACGCGGCCAAATGGCTTTCGAGAGTTGCGAAACTGATGCATATCAGCGTGGGTGTGGGGACTTTCCTTAAAGTGGGCAGCAATCGTTCACGAAAGATTGGCTCATTCCAAATAAAATTATTCAAATTTCAGGAAGTTGGTTGCATCACCGACTTGGATATAACTGAAAAATATGCACAGTAATTTGGGGTTATGAGAAACTTGTAAGTCCTAAAGTATCAACAATCTCAATCAGTCATGAAATATGCCCCTTAGTTTTTTTTTGGAGGGGGAGGAAAGGGGAACATGGTCCCTGGGACAAAAACACTGTCTTCTAAACAAATCAAGCGGGAAAAAAAAGGAAGAAAGAAATACAGCAATCGGAAATTTAGACCAAGAAGGACCTACGTTTCTTGTAAGAAAAATATTATTTATATTTTTTTTTTCACTGAAGGACCGGGAGGGGAGGGGGCACTTCCAGGGGGCTAACTCAGCATCCAGTTTTGCAGTAACTGTTAATTACTTAGTTAAGATGCGCAGTGTCTTTTTTCATTTAAACACTTCGTGTGAATTTTGCTTTTGATAACCAATGTCAAACAAATTCTTGCAACTCAATTTTTCAGAGTAATAGAATAAACCAGTTTGTCTTTGATGAATTTAAAATGATCTACCATCATCTGAAATAATCACATATGGGACAGCAAATCAGTTATTAAAGGTCCAAATTTTCCAAAGTTGGCAAAATGCGAAAGAGAGAGAGAGAGAGCATGGGAATTTTTTTTTTAACAGGTGAGAGGAGTTGTTAGACGTCTCTAGTCTAGGAAGAAAGGAACCTAAAGTCTGGATTCATTAGAAGTGCTCCAATAGCTTATTTTTTGAGGTTGAAATGTTACACTTTTGAAGATCGAGACGCCGAAAACCTGATAAAGTTGTAATTGTCTCATTTAAAGTTTTAAAATGAGCAATTAACCAGTTTTCTGGCTTGAGTAGTTCTAGGTTATGGATGGGTTCACAATTTAAAAAATGTGTTCCCTTCCAAAATCTCGGGACCTTTTGACCAAGACATATTAAATTCGCAATCACCAGCTTCTCGATAGCTGTGACTTCTTTACGATTAAGTCGGAAATTCAACCAATTTCCTGCAGTTATGAGCACTTCACATATAATGGCCTGTGTGCCAGAACTCAATATACTAAGGCTAGAAATGTGCATCTACAGGTAGCAGGGAAAATAAGGAAAAAGGTGGGGGGGGGGGGGGGGGGGGGGGGGGGGGGAAATTAGAAATGTGCATCTACAGGTAGCAGGGAAAATAAGGAAAAAGGTGGGGGGGGGGGGGGGTTGAGAGGGGAGCAAAAGGTACCCTTTGCCCCGCCAGCTTGCTACGACCATTTTATCGTGACATCTGCTCTGGGCGGCCTGTCACGAAGAGTAATGGTCATATTCAGAACGTTATTTAGACTCTTCAAGAGGGCTGACGTTGGGCTTGCGAACAACCTTTCGCCGAAACGAGGATCCCCGAAACGTCAATGCATCGTATTCTTACGGGGAAACTTCACAAGAGGTAGGCAATTGCTGTGAGGTAAATGCCTCAATTGATCGACGTGCTATAGCTAAATGACAGTAGCTGCTGTCCGGCTGAAACGCTTTTGCAAGAACAACAACGTTTTTCTGCATGGAATCATCGAAGCCGATGAAGCTTAAGTCTATTCACGCGACCTACAGAGGAAACGCCAGAGCGCAAACTGTTGGCCCCAACGTATTCACGACCGCTGAAATTCGAAAGAAAGCGAAGCACCACGAAACTCACGTACGTTGCTTTCAACTGAGCATCTGGTCATCAGCCTGGATGAGCTTGTTCCCCCCCAAAAAACTTCATTCGACGGCGCATATCACAAGACCTTCTCGCAACAAATGATAGTTTCACTGACGGAAATAGGATTAACATTTTTTCCCCATTCCTACGCCTGAAGATGTTATTTAGTTATTGAAGCAACCTTTGGATCCAGTTTCGGTAGGAAAATTCGTTAGCAAAGTGTCGAAAACGAGCTCTAAACCAGGGGTTCTTAACCTTTTTGCACTTACGGACCCCCCCAGATCCTCAAGTATGGACCTCCACCCCTGGTTATCAGAAACCTTGAAACACCTGGATTTGTGATTATAAATGATGTTTATCGGGAACTACCTTCAATTATATATTTAATTTTCCAAGGACCCTCCATGGACCTCCTGGATTGTCCGCGTTGCTGTTTCGCTTTAAAATAAAGCATTTTTCTTTCCCTGAAAGACATACAGCCGATGATCATTTCATACTCTCTCATATCTCGCTTCGCCTCATTCGAAGAGACCGTAATAGTAGTACTTGGACGTATTCATCCATGTTCCAAGAAAGAATATTATGGAATCAAAGCTACCAGTGAGGTAATGTCTCCTTATAAGGCGGGTGTTCCGAGGTTCAATCACACGTTCCCCGAGAAAAAAAAAAAAGCTTTAATCGAAATCTTTTAGATCATGCACGATCTCCGGCCCGCGGGCCGGAACCGGTCCACGGAAGGATTTTATCCGGCCCGCAGCCGGATAAAATCCTTCCACTGGAACTTCCATTCCCTTGGATGGGCCATCCCATTGAAGATTGACCTGCGTCTCCCCCGATGTCTGGCCCGCGGTGGGTACCCAGGAGTCACCATCTGATCCTTTTGCCGGGAAGGTTGTGCATCCCTGTTTTAGACAATCTTGCGAATGCCTCCCGAAGTAACAGCAGGATTGGACACCGCATTCTGTGATCCAGCTGGTGTGGAAGGTATTTAATTTAATTTAGAATCTAGGCGCCTTAATTATGTTTTGCTAATGGGGAGATGAGTGAGACTTGAAATCTCACAACACTGATTGCATCGTCCCTGTCGGACAAACGCTTGGAATTGCATCATTCCTGCTCCTGCAGGTCCCGCTGCTCCTGCAGGTCTCTCTCGAGACCTGCAGGAGCAGCGCTCATGCGAGTGCGACAATAATGGATGTGTTGGCAGTGCAACAACTTTCTCGGGTGAAATCGCTTCAACAATTGTGAAACCCAACGTGTACTGAACAAATTTCCCAGTGAAATTTCATCCAGCTTTGATCGACGCGCTCGATGGTCGGATGCTCGGATGGTTGCATCACCGACTTGGATTTAACTGAAAAATATGCACAGTAATTTGGGGTTGTGAGAAACTTGTAAGTCCTAAAGTATCAACAATCTGAATCAAACAGTCATGAAATATGCCCCTTAGTTTTTTTTTTTTTTGAGTATGGACCTCCACCCCTGGTTATCAGAAACCTTGAAACACCTGGATTTGTGATTATAAATGATGTTTATCGGGAACTACCTTCAATTATATATTTAATTTTCCAAGGACCCTCCATGGACCTCCTGGACCTACCCCACGGACCCCAGGTTAAGAACCCCTGCTCTAAACAGATCGTTCCCTCGCAAGGGAGACTTACGGGCTTAACCCTTGTGGCCACAGTTTAGATGTAGAAATCGAGGTAGGCAATTTATAGATTCATCTCAGATTGCTGGGGATATATTCTAAACGTTCTTAAAGATTCAGGCCTCAAATTAATGTGGGTTAGTCAATTTGTCATATTATCCGAAGAATATTTGAGAAAAAGGTATTTTGGTGAACCTTTAATCGTGC